CCCGTCCGCCCCCTGCGACTCGACCCGGGCAGAGTCGCCCCCTCCTGAGGCTGCCCCGCGTTAGCGAGTCACACCTGAACCCCCTACACCCCCAATTTATCTCCCTGCTGCGGGTGGAATAGTAAAAACTCTACCTTTTGGAATTTTGTAGTTGGGTAGAACTGGCTAGAAAACGTCTTTTTAAAAATACAAGTGAGGGATTTACTTCCAGTACTTATGCAGGCACTAAGGAGAATAATTGATTTTTGTTTCTGATTTTCTACAGGATACCCGAAGGACCTGATAAAAGTATTTTCTCTGACTCCAGCTGTAACTGGTCCTAAGGGGGAGAGAATCCATGTTGGTCAACAGAACTTTCCGACATCGCTTAAGTTTACTGCTTCAGTATCTTTTCCTTACTGATTATTAATTAAGTAACATCCAAGTGGGTATACCTTTTTAGGGTTTTGAATTAAAAGAGAGCAGCAAGAATGGCATTTTAACTTTTTTTTTCAGTTGCTATGGTAACTCCAAGTCCACAAATATTTGAGTTCTTATGTGTAAAGAAGTCACAAAGGAATAGGGGGAGAACAAGAAAGGAATTTGTACAAGATTTCAACCCAGCTGTCATAGATTACCGGGCAGGTTTAATATTTGTTTTCCAGAGTAGGAATATTTTAAGTTGTAATTGTGTATATTGGAACAGTTGCTAGGTTCTCTGCACTATTGATCCCACAACAATCCTTTGAGGTAGACACTTCTATCTCCATTTTACAGGGGGGATTCTGCAGCACAGAGAGTTCAAGTAACTTTCCAGAGGTCATACAGCTGTTTAGGAAGACCAGGCATAACAGATACTCAAACGCATTCACTCTTTCCAGCATCACAGTCTTCCTCAACTGTAGACAAGTTCTGTGGTTCAGAACCACCCACAAACTCCATGTCCAACGACAAGAGTTGAGTTATAGTTTAAAAATTATGCAGATTATGGCAGGGTAGTTTCCTTTTCTCTTCAGTCTGCATTCAGTCAGGCCTCTGTGCCCAGCGGTGAGTCCTTGGTTAGGAGAGAAGGGTGGTGTACTGGGAGGAGCAACCTGAATATTAATCCTAGCTATGACTGTTCATCGCTCTGGCATTCAGCAAACTTCTGAGTTTCAAGTTCCACCAAGCTTCAGGTTTCTCGTTTGTAAAATGGGAATGATATTGGATTACCTTGCTGAATGGTGGATTAGAGAAAAAAATATATCAAACATCTGACACAATTAAGGACCTGGCACATAATAGGTGCTCAATAAATGGTAATAGTTTTTAAGTTTACAGAACACAATCCCTCCTTTCTAGTCACAAAGTCTTAAATTCTTTCACTACATTAATTCTTTTAAAATGTCTCCAACGTCCAGGCAGTGTGGTACAGTAGGAGTCCTGGCTTTGGAGTCAAACACCTGTATGGACTTGGGCAAGTTGCTTAAACTCTAAGCATCTGTTTCCTTACTTATAAAATGGGCTTAATACAGTATCTATTTCAAGAGTTCTTGTGAGGTATAAATGAAATAATGCATGTAACACTCTTTGTGCCTAGTATATAACAGGCACTCAAATAATTTGTAATAATGTTCCCTGTGCCACTGTTTTAGAATTCGGGATTTTTTTCCTTACCCCTAGTCTCCCTCTGCTATGTCTCAGACACCATGTCCAGATTAATCTTCCTGAAGACCATTTTAATCATATAAAAACCCTCAATGACTGCTCTACCCTTGTAGGATAAAAAGCCTTGATTCTGGGCCGGCCCCGTGGCTTAGCGGTTAAGTGCATGCGCTCCGCTGCTGGCAGCCCGGGGTTCGGATCCTGGGTGTGCAGCGACGCACCAATTCTCCAGCCATGCTGAAGCCGTGTCCCACATATAGCAACTAGAAGGATGTGCAGCTATGACATACAACTATCTACTGGGGCTTTGGGGGGGGGGGAGGGGAGGGGAGCCTTGATTCCTTATATTGTGCTGGAAATCATCTATTGAATTTTCTTAAGTTTGTTTCCCACAACTTTCAAAAACACACTCTGGTTCTTGACACAGGTCTTCTGTCCTCTAAACTCACCATATTCAATTCTACTTCTTCATTTGAATCTGTGATGTCTTACTAGCATGCCCTTTCCCCCTTTACAACTGTAATCTTTCTGAAACTAATTCCACCTCTACTGATTTAAGTGCCACTTTCTCTCTCAAGCCTTCATCCACATTTAATGTCCATTCCTTTGAAATCCTATAGAACTTAATGTAAACACCACTTAACCACTTGTTTATATAGTATTTTGTACTTTTGAGTCAACAGTTAAATTCATTCATTCTTTAATTCTTTTTTGTCTGATATGTGCAAGGCACTATATTCATATAAGTATGTCTTAGTTATCCAAAGAAAATACATTTAGAGTGTAAGGACCTTAATGTCTTAAACATCTCAGTTCCTACACAATTCCTGCTGTAAAGTACAGCATACCCAGACAGGCATAAATCATGTTAAAGCAACATTCTATGAGGTGTTCTAACTAGATTTTGCTCATTTTAGATACTAGAACTTTTAAAATTTAAATATGGTCACTGTAGAAATTATATGTATTGGTTATCTTTTGCTGTGTAACAAATTACTCCAAAACCTAGTGGCTTAAAAACAATTACTTATCTTAGTTTCTGTGGGTCAAGAATTTGGGAGTGGCTTAGCTGGGTGGTTCTAGCTCAGGGTCTCTCCATTTGAAGGGAGTGTCAAAGAATTTGTGGATATATTTTACACCACTATGGTGTGTTTAGTTATTATAAGTGTGTTCATTGTAGACAAATTGGAAAATATGAACAAGTGAAAAAAAAAGAGAAGAAAGAAAGAGATCACTATCCAAAGGATAACATCACTATTTGGGTGTATATAATTCTAGTCTTTAAAATATATATGAACTTTTTCAAAATATAAACATTCTATGTATACTATTTTGTAACCTGCTCTTTCACTTAATATATTGTGAAAATACTTTTCATGTCAGGTATTCTTCCATAACATTGTAAATGGCTGCATAGTATTTCATCATTTGTATTATAACTTATTTAATTCTATATTGTATAACACTTAGGTTATTTACAGGTTTTGCCTATTTTATACATTTTGTTAAATGAACATCCTTATAGCCAATTTCTTTCCACATTCACGACTGTTTCTTAAATTCCTAGACATGGAATTTTTGGAACAGGGTTTGCACAATTTTAAAACCTCTGATATCTACCACCTGATTTAAGTAGAATTTTTATTGCAATCATCAAAAGTCCATTCAGCCAAATATCTGTATCAAATATATGTAACATATCTGCAAGAGTTCTTTGTTCAAATTTTGATCATTGTAAGTGAATTTGTTGAGAATGACCAAAATCACTATGGAATGAGAAGTTCTTTATTTTGGAAACCATTTCATATCAATATAGAGAAGCTTCTTTAATATTTTTTATAGCTGCATATTGTGTGAATGTGCCATAATTATATTTTTTTTACCAGTATTCTACTGACAGGAATTTAGGTTTCTAATCTTTTACTATCACAAAATAACCTTGTACAAACATCTAATATTCTCTCTTCAATTTAGGAATTAATGAATTAGCCAAGTATGATTAAAATTGTATCTGTTCTGGTCGGTCTGTCTTGATTGTCCAAAGTTCTGCTCACTCTGAGCGCTTCTTGTGCCAGGATGTCCTTTATAAGGTTCCTTTTCTCCATCTCTTCTTATGCATTTTCCAAAGGCAAGTACAAACGCTTATCATCTGTAAAGCTTTCATTTCTTTAAAAAGTTCTGTGAAAATAAAACTTTGTTTTTCACAAAAGGTTTTTGCATTGTTTACCCCTCGGTTCCACAAACATTCTGCTGTTGCTAGAAAGGCCGTGTTAAACTCTGCTACCTTTGGTGGAAAGGGGAAATTTCTGACTGACATCCAAGCAGAAATGGAGGTTCCACCTCTGCTTTCTCTCCTCCATAAATCCCACCCCACCCCCAAGAATGTTCCCATGAAGCCCCCTATGAAATGCCTCTAGTCAACTTTTCCTCTATCGCAGAGGCTCTAAAATGTTACTGTTAAAAGCATTTCACACCAAGTACCCCTAAAGCACGGAGCCTTGGGGCCTTTGCAATTGCTGTCCCGTCTGCCTGGAAGGCTCTTACCCATGATAAACACGGCCTGCTTCCCCGCTTCCTGAGGGACTCCGTTCAAATGCTGCCTCTGGAAAGAGTCCTGCCCTCTCCGACCTCTAACTCCCTGTCTCCCTTACTCTGCGTTTGCCTCGTGTCGTCACCACCTGATTTATGTAAGCGTTTGTGTCTCCCCTCCCTGAATTTAAACTCCATGAAGGCAGAGTTTTGTTTTATTCGGTGCTGTCATCTCCGGAACCTAGCTAACACTTCGAGATTATTCAAAACATTCGTCAATGAACGAATACTATCCCAATTATGGGCACAAGTTCTATAATATATATGAAAAGGGGTTGAAAATGTATGGTAATAACATAAATGTGAGAGATTATTTCTGTCTGAATTTAACTTCTGTTGACTGGATCCACAGACGAGAAATACAAAATAGAACCGACTCAGCTCTATCGATCCCGGGTCCTAAAATACTTACCCAAATAGGTAACTTAAGGCTGAGAAAGGTTAAGTAACTTGCCCAAGGTCCAGCGGCAGTCACGCCAGAAAGCGGACTCACTCTCAAGGTTGGATTTGACCTACCCTGTTAACACAACAGTTTGAAGGAGGCAGCGATGGTGCTTGCACTCTAGGAAGCAAACAGCTAGCCGCCCCGACTCCACTAGGCTCGGAGGACGCCGTTTGCAGAGCAACCACCGGAAATTCCGGTTTCCTAACCAGCCCTGGCGCCGAGCTCCTGACGTCAGCAGCGTACCACGAGGCGCCGCCGTGACGTCCGGCTCTTCCAGTGACCTTCAGGGCCCGCGGAGCCGTCGGCGAACGGAAGGCCTCTGCTCGTGCGCTGATTGGTCGCGCGCTGAGGCCAGCCCCGCCTCCCGCCTTCCGTTCTCCTGCTCCGCAAAGGCGTGGGGGTCCCCTCGGAGTCTTACACGTCGTCCAGCCGCCGAGCCGCCGCGCAGTTGCGATGCCGCGTGGAAGCCGAAGCCGCACCTCCCGGGTGGCCCCTCCGGCCAGGTGAGGCCTTCGCGGGGTTTGGGGCCCTGCGGGCGCCGTGACGCAGAGGGAGGCCGCGCTGAGGCCTCGGTGCGGCTCGGGTCGGCTGGCGGAGGCCGCGGTCGGGGGCGGCTGGAGGCGGGGGCTTTGGCTGGATTTCCCGTTAGTGGCAAACTTCCTAATTTCGAATGTTCGTGAATTATTACTTAAATTACTTAAAAGCTCATTTTAAGTTAAAACAGGGAAGTTCTAGAAAGAAGTGGACTTCGTAAGTGCAAACGTCAAAAATAGCAAAAAAAAAAATGTAGAAGAAAGGTAAGATAATCGGGGAAATGAG